TCGCCCTGCCTGCATCGATGCCGCAGAAGGTGCCGCGGAAGTCCCTCGGCAAGTAGAGCTTCTGCAGCTGGCCAAGCCGACCTGGCAGAAGAAGATTCGGCGCCCTGTGGCTGATCTGAAGGCAAACTGAAGCAAGTGATGGTGGCAGGTTGCTGGGAGAAGTCTAGCATGCGTATGTATATGCATTATGTATGTGTGTATGTATATATATATATATATATGTATATGTTGATATGTATATGTAGATATGGCAAACTACTATAATTTGCAAAGCTAAGCGGGGCCAAGTAATCCTCCTTGAATGAAACCTTCAGCATGGTTGAGCTTGCTGGCGCTTCTAAACAAGAGCTTGCAATATGGCTTGCCCCCGTTCTCCCTAATAATAACTACTATCTACGGTCTCAACCACATGCCCCGTCTGCATGCCCCAATCGTTCTGTGTGGCGCATGTACTTTTGCAGCATGGCGAATAAATTCGCAGTCAGATCCCCAATGTGCAAATAAACTGAACCAAGCCACATAATTAAGAACATTGCATGGCGAGTCACCAAAAGAAGGCAAGCTATTCTTCTGGCAGTTCCTAGCAGTTGGCGAGGCAAGGCCAACTAAGCCTGTTAGCCAAAAGGAAGGGGTAAGCCGTGGTAAGCCCACAGCAAGGTTCGTGCAATGGAAGCAAAGGAGTCGAGAGTCGACTTTATGCCCAGGGGGACTCGCCAAAACAAAAGGAAACAGAAGCCGCAGGGGATTCTCAACATCCCGGTTCCCGTCTTCAAGGGGCTGCTTGTGACCTTGTGGGGGGGGGGGGTGAAACTGCAAGTTCCAAAACCGGGAAAACGTCCTGCTGAGGACCTACATTGGGTTTGCTCATTCAACCCCCTCCCCCCCCCCGGCCCCCCCCCAATTGATGAGCTCGTCATTGGCAGCAGGATGCATCCAAAGAACGCGGTTTCCAAAGAACGTGGATCCTCCGAACCCGCTGGTGCTTGGGTGTCTCTTGAGGCGAAGCGGGCTCCCGAATGATTTCCCCTTAAAACACCACCCCCACCAAGAGACACTCACCTTCCATGGGAACAGGCGCTGTTTAAAGCCACCCCAAAAAGGGAAATATAGGGAACTCCGTGAACACCCTGCATCTTCACCGGTGGCTCCCAGGCATTTCACGTCGACTCCTCTCAATCAGCAGATTCGCGCCGGCTTGCAGACCCTCGGGCCCGAGAGAACTGGAAGGATCAAGACTGTACAACACGCGGTTGGCAGCCCGAGTCATTGCCCAAGCGATAAAAAAGGAATCCAGTGCCTCAATCTCCCTGTATAAAGGGAACCACCCTGAAAAAAACCAGAAGGAACCTGGCGAAGAGTTGCCTGCTGCACAGTCAGTTGCCCGACGGACCTAGATATGAAAGGTGAGCACCTTTTGGGGCCATGACTTTGAATGGTGGTCAACATGAGAAACAAAGGTCGAAAGGTCGTTTGTCTAGTCTTCCCATAAATGGGACATGGAACCATCAATGGTGATCTCCAGGGGTCGAAATCCCTCCCCCCCCCAACCAACCATATTTAAGGGTACAGGATCCCCTCCAAAAACGGTCTGATTCCAGCCACATTTCACCCAGAAATTAAAAAATATATGGTTGGTTGATTAGTCTGGGGTCCACACCCTCTGAATAGCCTGGCGTCAACATTACTCCGGGTCAACTAGGTCCTCCAGTAGAGAGGTTAGAATAAGAGTATGAGTACCAACTTTTATGTCGTCCATTTCAGTGGGGGAACCCAGGTCCCTAATTTGACTAGGTCCCCCAGCTAGGTGCCCTTTCTCACCGTTTCTTTTTTGGGGGAGGGGCCTTGGCGTGGCCAAAGATCCACCGCTTCACTTCGGACGACGGGCGGGCCTCGCCTCCTCCGACACCTTCCGCCGCGAGGTATCCGAAGAAGGCCGCGTGGACCAGGAAGAACAACACGCATGCCAGGTCCTGAGCCGGTTCCTACTGAAACCAGTACCCCATAGGGGACATACTATACCTATATTATATATATATATATATAGTTTTTAATTATTCACTTATTATGTATATATATATATATATATATATATATGTGTGTGTGTGTGTCTATATATATATGTGTGTGTGTGTGTGCGCACCCCTAACCCTAAAAAGACTCACCGTATCTCCCTTAGCCTCCGCAAAACAGCGAAACACCATCGCACGAAGCATCCTGGCAACCATATCCAAGCCTGCAAAAGCGCGACAAATCAGCTCATTTTGAGGGAGGTTCATCCTTCCGCGGGGAGAAGCCAACCACAGCCGAATCGATTCGGAATTCGGACCAACCATCAGGCCCAAAGATGTCCAGGATGTCCAGGGCAGGCGAGCGGCTGGGATCCAGCAACGGCACTTTGGGAGTACTCGCCATCCTGGCCCTCTCAGATGCCCAGTGGCCATGGGTAAAAAGGGGCACCTTTTTGTTAGTTTCAAGGGAGACCTTCCCCAAAACAAAATGAAGAAAGGAAGCAACCCCCTAAAAAAGGGGCGTTTGTGTTCTTTTGTTTGAAGGGGAACCCTCCCCCCCCCAAAAAAAAAACAAAACTGGGCACCAGTGGTTGCACCAGAGCCCTAGCCGCAGTCACGGTTTTGGCCGCGGCGCGGTGCAGCGGCGCTGGGGCACTGGGCCGCTCAGCAGCTCCCGGTGTCCGGAGGCCTGGCCTAGCCGGGCCCGCTGGCCCCAAGTCCGAGGGGGGTGGGGGGGGGGGTTCCACTTTTGGGGGGTGGGGTGGGGGAGTGGGTGGGGGGTGGCGGGGGGTGGTGGGGGGTGGTGGGGGGTGGTGGGGTGGGTGGGGGGTGGTGGGGGGTGGTGGGGGGTGGTGGGGGGTGGTGGGGGTGGTGGGGTGGTGGGGGTGGTGGGGGGTGGTGGGGTGGTGGGGGGGTGGTGGGGGTGGGGGGTGGTGGGGGGTGGTGGGGGGGGGGGGGTGGGTGGGGGGGGGTGGGTGGGGGGGGGGTGGGTGGGGGGGGTGGGTGGGGGGGTGGTGGGGGGGATCCCAAACCCCATTTCGGTGTCTATTTTTGAGGGCACCCTTGTGGGGTGGTTTTTCGAGCGAAAGCCACTAATCTTCCCCATAAAAAGGGAACTGAACGTGGAACCAGACATGGACATCTCCAGGGGACACCTGGTCACGTCGCCCCATGTCGCCCCCCATTCTATTTTTAAGGGGGTGGGGATGCTGGCCCCAAAGTTGGCAACTGGCAAGTTAGAAGAGGGCACCAAAAGGTAGTGAGTTCATGTAAGTAATGCGACGTATCAAGATTTGGACAAAGAAACATGACACTGGGTGGTTTGCACGTTTCAATTAATTGCACAAACTGGCAAAGATTTAGACGAAAGTTGCAAGGAAAACCTGCAGGGAACCAGCCCAAGGAGGGACTCGAGCTTGCTTAAAACACCCAGAAGTGACAACCAGGAAATTCAGGGGAGTTGGCCAAACACCCCCAACCAAAAAACGGGGTGTTTGCCAACTTCCTGTAAGTGTGTCCGGTGGAAAGCAAATGTGCGGTTAACACATACAACTCCCCCACACTCGGTGCACGAGCTAGGACATGTATGCTCTGGTTTGGTGTCAGCAGCCGACCTTTAAATTTCAAGTGTGCAAGTCTGAGGCGCACCCGAAAACGGGTTCGGACCTGGCCCTAGTTCGAGCCATCCGAAAGGAGCCCCCTGGTCCAAAGGATTTTGACTAAACTCCGGGATATGCTGATGCCAAGCGCAGACCCAAAAAGCCGGGAAGAACCTAACCCGTGGATTTCAATTTCTTTGGGGACCACATCAAGGGCATCCTTTTTCGGTTGGTTGATTTTAAGCAAAAAAAGGCATCCTTATGGTTGGTTTGGTTGGAACCCTTCCCCCCCCAAAAAAAAAAGTTGAGAAAAGGGGCACCACTGGGCAACTGGGTCACAGAACAATTGGCGACCTCAAACCCAAGCTACGCGAAACGAACCGTGGACCCACCCCACACGGCGGGCCTTGCGGCTGGGGCTTCAGCGGCAACATGAGACGCTGCAAGCCCCGGCGGCCAAGTGCCCCGAATGTGTCAACCATACTGTGGATGGTTGCGAAATCCGAAGCTCGCACCACCGTTCAGAAACCCTCGAATGCTATGATTCCCCAACGTAAATACCAACCAACAATGGTGCCCCATGGTTTCATTTCGTGGTGCGATTTCTAGATTTCGCAACCATCCACAGAAGCCCGGAGAAGTGAGCAGCAGTTGCATAGCTGGCCTTTTCGAATCGATGGCCCTGGTAAACGGAATGAAACCCACCTAAACCAGTGCCATTCATCTTCAATCAAACTCGCCTAAAAAGGACACCTACCAGCAGTTGGCGCTCCTTCGCCGCCCCGGCGAGCCCACCCAGTCTATTGCCAAGGAGATCCCCAAACCTGGGCCCTAAACCCCTTGAGGTCTTGGGGGCTGGGGCTATTGGCGAATGGTCTTTTTCGCTGTGGCCAACTCACTTCCCAAAGCGGCAAAGTCCGAACAAGTCTCAGAAAGAAGAATTTGAAGTCTAAAGTCGTGGGAAGCCAACAAATGATTGCATGTTCCAGTGGATAACAGAACGATTTTAGGGCTCCAAAAAATAATTGGAGCCCTTCGAACTTTGCCCTAGCCAAAAGTGGCTCTAAAACCATAAGGCCAAACTGATTTTCGAGGAACACCTTTCGACCCCAAAGCCCAGATTCCGCCCATTCTGGTGCCCCGGTTCCGGATATGTGTGAAGCTTCAAACATCTTCAAACATACGCGCCGTGGGAGCAATTCCACCTGCCTCATGCATTGGCACATCAGCTCGCTCGGCTCTTCCCTCGAAACACGGCCCGGAACCCAAAACAAAGCGGGGTTCCTGCAAGAAGACGTTTGAATGATGCATTCCGGGCGCTTCAGGCGCGTGGATTTCCGGCATAAAACGACAGGAGCAGCTTCCACGCCCCTGCCAGCCGCTTTTTCGCGCTTGAACCTTTGCCAGGGCCCTGGCCCCGGGTCCGAAGGTACAGGGGCTACAAAAGGTCTCGCTTCCCGAGTGGATTGGCCAAAGAAGACCGCTCCAAACTCTTGGATTTACCGCTGAACTGATCTGCTCAAGAAGTTCAAAGTCCAGGAACCTAGAAACTCGAGAAGTGAGGGGTCAACCAAAACAGGGCAAACCCTACAGAACAGGCCATGCGACGGCCCTCTACCGGCCCCGGCAGTTGCCAGGTGTGTATTGTTTTTTTAAATCAGCGGCGCTCAGACGAGAGGAAGATCTGTATGTATATATATATATATATGTGTGTGTGTGTATATGTGTGTTTTTGCGTCAGCCCTTAAAAGGCGACCCTTTTGAAGCGATGACAGGCAGCCCTTCTGAAGAGACGACGTCCGAATACTTTCCCTGGGCTGTGCGCGAAAAAAGGGGGGATCATTAAAGTCAAAATCTGGAGATGAGGCGGTAGCAAAAGCCTTCGTTGCCTCTTTCTCTCTCCCTCTCTCGCTACCTCGCAGGTCACAAATTAGGAGCGCTGGCCCACCTTCGCTGCGGGCCAGCGGGTCTGGCCTCCGCAGAGCTCAGGGATGGACAGGTTCCCGGGTGGCCACTGACCTGCCGGGCTTTCAGAAGAACACCACCGTAGCCCCCCTTGAGATAACAGGGGTCACCGTCACAAGTTGTTCAATTCAAAAGTGGTGTCCATTGACACTGCTACTGTTGGAGGTTGCGAAAGCGGAAATGAAGGAAACCCTGGACAATTACAAGTGTCCGCCTTTCTACTCACCTGCCCCAAAAATGCATCCTTGGTATCACAGAAAGTCCCACTCACGTGGCCAGCTGCGAATGCTCGATCTTAAGCCCTGGAGCAACTGATGACTGGGATGGTCCTCGACGCCTGTGCAACAAAAACACCCAAAGCTAGCCGTTGCACTTCCCGTCTAACTGAAGGCCAACCCATAATCAAAAGCTGACATCAAACATGCCAACGTCTCAGGTCAAACATTGTGCTTGCAGCTTGGGTCCGACCTAACACACCGGCCAGCAGGCTGCCGGCTCCGTCTGTTGTTTGGGTTCATGGCCTTGGGCCCTAGCAGGAGAATGACTTGGCGGCGCCACCTCGCTGTGAGGGGACCAACGTGTCAACTGCTTTCCAGTAAAACTTCTGCCCACAACTGCTGGACTTTCAAATTGGAGGGACCCATGCCATTGGCTTTGCAGCGTCCGAGAAACAATTCACATCCCGTCTCTCATGGTAAAGTGCTTTGACTTGGTTGACGTTGAAAGGGGAGCTACAAAAATAGCAGTTAAGTGGATTTGGATTTGAACCACTAAACCCCAAGAAGCAAAAATTTGAAAATGTTTCCCAACAACCATGTTGACGGTACCCCATCCCCCCCTAACCTTGTAGGCCCTCGTGTAGCCACCGCCCACCCTCACGAAGGCGGCGGCAAAAGTTTGTCAAGAGTGTCCACCCTTGGGAACCCAACCTGAGGACCTAGCTGTGGTTGAATCCTTTTGCTTAAGGGAAGGACCCAAGAACACATTCAAAAAAGGGGCAGCCTAATAAGGGGCACTTTGACGGATGGGAGTACAACCCCTTTTTTGTTCGGCTACAATAAGACACACATCAAACTTAAAGGAAATCTTCATAACCCGCGGTATGCTTGCACAAAACGTTGCGTTTCGCAGCCCCCTACTAAAAGGTACCGGTATTTACCCACCCGCAACCCGAAGTGGTCTTTACCCCCGCGAACATGGTAAGAACACACTCTCAAGAGCACCCGCTCAGCACTGCACACACGCACGCCAAATGGTAAGAACACCATCTCAAGCGCACCCGCTCGGCACTGCACACACATGCCAAATGGTAAGAACACCCGCTGAAGTGCACCCGCTCAGCACTGCACACATGCATGCTGAATGGTAAGAACACCCGCTGAAGTACACCCGCTCGGCACTGCGCACACGCGTGCCACATGGTAAGAACACCTGCTGAAGTGCACCCTCTTTGCGCTGCACACACAACCATGCCAAATGGTAAGAACACCCGCTGCACCTAGCGCTCAGCGCTGCACACACGCATGCCAAATGGTAAGAACACCCGCTCAGGTGCACCCGCTCAGCACACACGCATGCCAAATGGTAAGAAGACCCGCTCAAGTGCACCCGCTCAAGCGAAACAGCAAACAACCTAGTCCACGAAGGCGGCGGAATTCAAGTTCCACTGGGAACAGGACATGTCTCCAGCCGGTGCCCCGGCAGCCCAGACATCGTCTCACTGCCATGTGTCCTGACTAGAACAAAAATGCGCGGCTTTACTCTGAAATGAGTTAGTTACCGGGATGTTCAAAGACCCACAAAGATGCACGTTTGTCAAACTGCCTGAGAATTCAAACACAAAAACCGAACACAGGCAAAAAAACGCGCGGGTGGGTATGTTCCCGGCGCGTACTAAAAACGAACAGAACCAAAACACCAAGAAAAGAAGCAACTTGCCAATAACAGCGAAGACAATTTCGTCGAGGGTGCCAGTGACGCTGGGTGGCACATAGCTTGGGGAGTGCCACCCCCGCGCCTTCATAGCTCTGTCTTCTCTCGCACGCTGTAGAGGACCTTGCCATCCACCAGACGGCCTCACAGAAAAAAACGGCGCATGCGGCATGCGGATCCTTCGCCCCATGAAAACCGGCTGCCCAGAAAAGCGCTCTTGACGGCCTCTTCAAGTCTTCCCTCTTGACACGAGGCAAATCCACATGTTATACTCATTCCACAACCTGCATTAAGGGATCGCTTACAAAAAGGACTTTCTTTATCATGGCTTTCGCTCATTACGCCCCGAATCGGTGAGCCCGCTAAGAAATAGGCAGATGGATCTCACCGCGTAGCCCGGTTTTGGCCTGACCCATGAATCAACCGGGTGGGTGAATGGGGGCGGTTTCTTCCCCAAGTGCACGTTACCCCCCTGATTCATCCACCAAGGGTTGATTTCTCCCGGGTCCAAACGGTTTCACCTGGAAGGAAACACGCGAAGCATCCGAAAGGGCCGACAGGTGTTCCGAGTGCCCCGCCCGTTTATCCTTCCACTGGGGTCAACCAATGTGGGCTATGCACTGCACCCAGGCTTCCCTTGATTCAAAGAGCCCCTATCACGGATCCAATGGCGGCAACCTTCAAAAACCTCCGATTAAAGAACACAAGGGGTTCTTCAGGTGGGGTGCTGCCTAGGAAAATGTATGTATGCGCATGTGTGTAAGTGTGCTTTTGAATCATGCATAGACGTATGTACACACAATATGCACATTCCTGTGCATGTGCATACATATGTTGGCCCTGTGTATGCATAAGTCGCCTGGGGGTCTTCAGCATTTGCTCAAGCTGTTGCTCAAATGAGCCTAAAAACGCAAGGTGCAACTCCGCAAAAACTCAAATTGGTAGCCATCGATTGATGCGACAAACCCCGCACTACGAAACCCCATGGGCAACCCACACATCTACCCCACCTTTTCCCATTTCGCAACGTGTCGCGCGGGCCTCTGTCTGCGCAGTTGGCGATATCGCAATTGGCACCTTTCCCTCGGCTAAGAAGACCTCGGATGCGGCCGAAACTGGGGGGGGGGGGGACAACAAGGGCGACCCCCACAAAGGGGCACAGAAAAGGAGTCTTTGTCTTTTGCCCCCTACTCAGTTGTTCAGTGACCCTGGAGAAAAAAAAGCAAAAAAAAAAGAACCTTTTTTGGGGAAGACCCGTTGTAGTGGGGCAGCCATTTTTTATTTTTTTTAAAGGTGCCACTGAACAACTGAGCCTACGTGACAGGTGTCCGCTGCATGAACTAAGCTGCCCAGTGGATTTTTGGCCGTATCGGCTCCAAGCCGCGAGTTCACCTTCAAGAGTTTGTTTCTTGAAAGCGTACCAAGCGTCTCGAGCTGGCATGCTTGATTCATAGCAATGCCATCAGAATCATGCAAGTGAAACTCTCAGCCATCATATTCACCTTCCTCTTCATCGAATTCACCTTCCTCCTCCGCAGTGGCATCCTGATACTGCTGGTACTCAGAGACCAGGTCATTCATGTTGGACTCGGCCTCTGTGAATTCCATCTCATCCATTCCCTCCCCGGTGTACCAGTGCAAGAAGGCCTTGCGGCGGAACATTGCGGTGAAATACTCTGCGACCCGCTTGAACATCTCCTGGATGGCAGTGGAATTGCCAGCAAATGCAACAGCCATCTTCAAGCCCTTTGGCGGGATGTCGCAGACCGATGCCTTGATGTTGTTCGGGATCCACTCCACAAAGTAGGATGAGTTCCTTGCTGCGACATGCAAGCTTCTATCCCACTGCATGCTTGTTTCAATATGCCATCACAAGCTGTGTTGAACGTATTCTACGACCAATCTGTAAAGCAAACCGCAACCATCTGATCACTGATCGCCAAGATGTCCCGACTGCAGGCCAAACAAAACAACAACAACATGAGGTTCGGATCGCAAACAAAAAGCATGGCTGCAAACATGACACAACACAACCGGCCAAGTCTCTTGTTCTGAACGTTCAACATCTGTTCATCGACCTCTTTTGTGGACATGCGGCCTCGGAAGAGGGCCGCGGCCGTCAAGTAGCGCCCATGACGAGGGTCTGCGGCACACATCATGTTCTTGGCGTCAAACATCTGCTGAGTCAACTCTGGCACGGTCAAAGCACGGTACTGCTGCGACCCGCGGGAGGTCAATGGGGCAAAGCCCGTCATGAAGAAGTGCAGCCGCGGGAAGGGCACCAAGTTCACGGCAATCTTGCGCAGGTCGCAGTTCAGCTGGCCGGGGAAGCGCAAACAACAAGTGACCCCAGACATGGCTGCTGAGACCAAGTGGTTGAGGTCACCGTAGGTCGGTGTCGTCAGCTTCAGCGTGCGGAAGCAAATGTCATACAACGCCTGCAAACAAGAAAGTTGATGAGCTACTTGTGTCTTGTAACATCTCGTAGTTCTTGCAACATGTGCATACAAAAAGGTTCATGGGCTACTGGTATCTTGCAAAGCCGGCTCATACAGGCGTGGGTGTGTGTGTGCGCTGTGAGTTCGGGTGGGTGGATGTTGTGTGTGTGTGTGGTGTGCGGGGTGTGGTGTGGCGGGGCGTGGCGTGGTGTGTTGTGGTGTGGCGTGTGTTGTCGTGTCGTGGCGTGTCTTGATTTTCTGACTTCCATTTGGTTAAGACCCCTGGAAAAAAAAACAGTAGTGATAGAACCCCTTGAAAACCAACAGGATTTATTTAAAAACAAAAAAACTTATACTAATGGAAGCTGACAGTGCCCTGTTCGAGGTTGGTTGAACTGATCCATGTTGCTATTGGCAACTGACCCGCCTCGTTGTCCAGCAAAAAAGACTCGTCGGAGTTCTCCACCAGCTGATGAAAGCTCAACACGGCATTATATGGTTCCACCACTGTGTCGGACACCTTGGGAGAAGGAATCACGGAGAATGTCCTGACTCGCCCGACGAACGCGGAAACCGTGCTTCGCTTTTCGAAACGTAAAGGCCGACCATCACAAAAACCAAAAGGTTCAAAGGTCCGCTTCAAGTGAGCGTCTCCATGATCCGATCTGGGTATTCTTCACGCACCTTTGAGATCAACAAAGTGCCCATGCCGGCGCCGGTGCCTCCCCCGAGAGAATGGCAAAGCTGGAAGCCTTGCAGGCAATCGCAGCCCTCAGCCTCCTTGCGCACAACGTCAAGGACCGAGTCGATCAACTCGGCTCCTTCCGTATAGTGGCCCTTTGCCTCAGTTGTTTGCGGAAACAATCACGTCCTCCCGCAAAGGTCAGGTTGAGGAACCTTCTTAGGAGTTTTTAGGTTCTGCGAACCAGGGGGCCCTCATCTCAGGATGTAGCCTTACCCAAAGGACATTAAAATTCCAAGGTTAATTAACATTTGAACACCTTGACTAAAAGTGGTCCGACATGAGACAACCAAAAAGTCAGAGGGTCGACTCGCTGGCAATTGAGTGGCCCAATTGTTTCCAGCCCCAGTCTGTCCGAAGACAAAGTTGTCAGGGCGGAAGAGCTGACCGAATGGCCCGGCACGTACGCTGTCCATTGTCCCGGGCTCCTGAGTTGCAAAATTTGGATTGCTCACCAACACCCCTGCAACTTGTCAGGCTGATCGAGACCCTGGCACTGCTGTAAAAAGTTGCAAGTAGGGAGACAAAGAGCTCCCCCTTACCCGTAATTTACTGTGGCTTTGTGGGCGCAGCTAGTTCGGGCTGAAAGGGGAAGTCATCTTCCAAGTGTCACAAGGTCAAACCTCCAAGCAAAGAGGTTTGAAGCAGCCGAAAGTCAACTTGAACGGTTTCTAGTTGAGCTATGCGGGCTCGAACCAATACCTAAAGCGAATCCAGAAGCTAAGCTCGGCTCCAAATCCATGAGCACGGCGCGGGGCACGTAGCGGCCACCTGTCGCCTCATTGAAGTACACGTTGATCCTTGGATCTACAATGTTGACACCAGATCAACCAACCAGCGCTTATGAATACGGGGGTGCATCTCCCGGGTTTAGTGGGGAATCAGACCACTTTGGGAGGGGCCCCACCCCCCCTAATTAACAACGTGGGGTTGATTGATATGGGGTCAACATTCTTCAGCTTCCCTCCAATGGGTGGTTTGGAGCCAAAGCCGTGGTTTGGTGGTTCAGGAGTTGTTGATTTGTTTCCCATTTATATACCCCCTACAAGAAGCAGTGCCTCAAATCCAAACCCATCCACAGCACCCATCCGGGGTGCCTGCCCCAAACCACTGGCTCATGGAAAAACTGCCGCAGCGTGCGCTCAGAGTTGCTTGGCTTTGAGCCGACAAGATCTGACAAGAGCTCTCCCGTGACGTCACAAACGAGGAACAGCTGCAGGATTTTCCAACAAGATTGGATCTCTGGGTGAGTCAATTGACAGGTGCAAGTGTGGTGGGGCCACAGCCCCTGGTGACTCAACGATGAGTCAAGGTCGCCGTTGCAACAGCTCCCAAAAAACTACAGACTGGGAAGCATCGCTAAGGACACGAAGCTTGCCCCTGTAGTGCCCTAGAAACATAGCCCACAAGCCGCCAAGCCGGGGCGCCGCTCCAGTTGCAGGTCCGAATCGCCGTGGTAGGTGCCTACCACGCCGTTGATACAAACCGCCCGGCTACCGCCAGGACGTATAGCACATAGCCACATATAAACAGACATATAACACATATATATATAGTATATATATGTATATATATATATATATCTGTACATATAAACATATATATATATATATATAAGATATAAAGTGTATATATATATATATACAAATGTATACATGTTCCAACACAAACACACCTATATGTGTAGATGCATACATACAAACATATCTGCGCATATATGCATGTATCATCTGCACACATCCATGCTCCCTCCGAAAAAGCTCAGGGTGTGTCACTGAACCCATGGAGACGCCAAAACAAACAAAACCGCGCGCGCGCGTGGTGCGCGCGCTCCTGTGGGATCGATGCCGTGCTCGTCTGCAATCACTTCCCAGAACTTGGCGCCGATCTGGTTGCCGCACCTGGGGCGAAGACTGGGGTCCGAGGTGACGCATTTTTTTGGAGGCCAGGAAGTTCTTGAAGCCCAGGCTGGATTTCCATGGGAACAAAGGAATCCGCATCCTTTTGTGGTTGGTTGAGTTTGAAAGGGAACCCCTTCTCCCAAAAAAAGACATGAGAAAAGGGCGGAATCCACTGGTAACTGGGGAAGTGAAGCTCTCAGCTTGCCGTCCTTCGGTGGCTTGGCTTGGTAGTTTGAGAGTTTGGGAGGGGACTACATTCCCATTCAGCTTCGGAGCTTCGAATTCCACTCCACTCCAAACCAAAGGCGTGCTTGAAGCTCTGGGAAACGCGGAGTAGCCAAGTTGGCCCCACGGGGTTCGTTCCGCATTGCTTATGAAAATGGCTTATTAGAATATACAGTTCTCCATGCATACCCGGTGAGGGACTTCAATACCTTTTGTCCTAGAAGGACAAAACAAAACAAAATAGAAGGAGCAAGGAAACTCTCAAACCAAACTCATGGCAAAGGAGCTGTCCTCCCTGCACGTGCACGAGCTCACGCATCTTAGCGAAGATGTGCTTGAGGAAGTTGTTGCAGCTTGAGCCGAGGCTTTCGGCGCTGGATGTGCCAAAGAAGTCGGACACAGAATGCAGCTAGCCACCTGTAAACTCATTAAATCACTACATGAGCGATGAGTGGATATGGGAATCGATGAATTCGTCGCGTCTTATTCATATAGTGTTCCCCTCCAAAAGTGATGAACCCCTACTAAAACCAGTTGGACACCCCCACCAAGTCCGGGGTTTCACCGATCATTCATCCATCCAATTCATCGGGCCTTCAGCTCCAAGCCCTCAGACGCGACATGTCCAGTGCCTGCAAAACTGGATCCCCAGACTCGGACTCCCCAAAGTTTCAAGAATTGCACACCAGTGGGGCAAAACTGACGCGAGGGCCAGAGGAAACTACCTAAGCTTTTCAAGACGCGTTTGATTCTCCATGTTGGGTGTCAACATGTCCATGTCAACATGTCAAAATGCTGAACATGACATATCTCCGTGGTTGGCGAAATCTCCATGTCAAAATGCTTAAAATGACACGTCTCCGTCTTTGATTGTCCATGTCAAAATGCAACATACAAATGTCTCCGGGATTGATTCTCCATGTCGGAATGCTCGACACTGTCTAACTCACTTGCCCAAAGGACCCAGAAATAAAAGGTGAACCTTTTGGGGCCATGACTAAAAATGGATCAACATCGGAAAACCCAAAAGGTCCAAAGGGTTGAGTTTCCCAAACGGCGGCCAACACCCCCAACCTCTTGCGGCACATTCCGTCGTTCTGTCGCCCGGGACCCAATGCCCCCTGGCGCGGCCTTTGTTTTCCCTGGACCCTTCGGCTCAAATGGGAGCGAGCTTCGCGTCTGTTCAAGGGGACGAGTCAAAAACCAACTCACGCAGATGTGCGTGCAAAGGTGAACTTGCGGGGGTGGTATTTTTTTGGGGGGGAGGAGCCTTGAAGAACTTTCATGGCAGCCCCCACCTCCAGTTGGTGAAAACAAAAAGGCCCAGATCTGTGCTTCTGGAATCCATCTGCGGTGCGTTTTGGCCGAGGGGTGATGCGAGGTCACATCAACTGTTTATTTCGGTGTTTCTATGTCCCTTTTGATTCTGCAAATTTGACTATACCAAAAGCTGAACTAAGGGATCCCCAAGTGAACGACCTTTATCATGGTGATCTCATTCTACCCCGAGTGAGCTTGCTATCAAATAGGCTTGTCGAATTGCTATGTCAAAGGGAAATCGCAAGGACACCAACCGGCATGGACCTCTATGAAAGGAACAGGCCCCAAACCAGTCACACACCAAAACCCGATCAGCCCGTTGTCCATCTCTTGCAACTTGTCGGTCAAAGGATCGGTGGCCATGAACCCGTAACCTGCAGATTCACATGGAAATTAGCATGGAAACCTAAAAACACTCATCAATGAACAGGATAAAACGAGCTTTTGGGACCCATGCCGCTGATGACATCGCATGCTGCTCTTTCGTTGCCATGCCAATCTTGGGCAGGGATGTAACCATACCCGGTGATCTGTGTAGACAAGGACTTGCAATGATATATCTAAATTAGTTTATCCATACCTATATATATTTTAATATATATGTACCTATATATCCTGGAGGGCCCCAAATACTCTTTTGGCTTTTAAAGGGTGGCAGCCCCTGGTTGCTGCCTGTACAACTTAAATGGATCCATTGGGTTTCAATTTTGGCAAATGGGCTCGACTGGGCTCTGGGGCTCACATCCAGGTCACCAAATCTTGCTGGTTTGACAGGCAGGCAATGAGTTGGAATGAGCCAACAACCATCCCATATGGCTGCCTAGGCCAAATCCCCTTCCGGTTTATTCTCAACACACGGACTCGGTCCATTCCTACCTATCGCACCAGCCCTCGAAACTAAAGAAACCCAACCTAAATGTCTACCCGATCCACTTGGTCAGACTGCGGTGCTGCGTTCATTCACCCTCTGAAACCTGTGGGACACCTCTGGGACATTGCCACCTGGCACAAGGGTTTGTAAAATACGCGTTAGAAATCCCAATGCAGACCAAGAACACTTGGCCGCAGCATGCTGCCGCATGCCTTCTACCACCTGGGGCACGGAGCCACGTGACATACCGGGAGAAAAAATGAAAAAACAACATGCGGCGCGGACCATCTTGCGACTTGTTGTCTTTGTGTTGAAAAATACTAAGTGATGGTTTGAAAGGCATGTTGCTTCCTCATGTTCAAGTTCTTGTTGCTCTGATGGTTCTATGAATAAGCCCACCATTTGCAGGGGTGGCCTCTCTTTCTTGGTTGCCGAGGGGGAGATCTCAAGTTGGACAGGCATGCATCAGAGGGGGGCCGGGCGGCTCCCAAAAATCCCGAATCAGGGGAGCCAGGAAAACCAGCATCTCTTGGTTGACGTTAGAAGGGGGGGCAAAAATTCAAAGTTAGGTGGGGAGTTCAACCACTCAGCCACAATAAGCAAAAAAGTAAAATGCTTCCCAACAACCACCACCATCTGGCAAAACGCGGTGACTTGCAGAAAAAGTACCGCCGAAGGTCCCGAAACTAACGGAGCCGATTTCATCTGGCCTTGGGCGCACCTCCAAGTCAACGGCTCGACAAGCACCACAGGAGCACATTGGTAAGTCCCCCCCCAATGGGAATCTCGGTTGCGAAATCTGCTCCCCTGCTAAAAGTGAATAACTTTTGGTGGTTAAATACGGAAAATCCATTAGTTGGCACAAAGGTTAAAGTCCTGACATCCTTTGGCAAAATGCGCCAAAGGAAGTGTGGTCTTTAAGGGAAGTCTTAACGGTATCCAACATGCAGTTTCCTCTTTGTGGCACGCTTGAAAAGGCCAGTAACAGGCAACCAAGGAACATCCATGGGGATGGATCCATGGGACCAAACTCGGACTCAGGAAGTCGGAACCAACTGATATCCCCAAAACTGGGGTTGACGACTTGGGTCCCGAAGCCAGATGTGCGAATTCTAGTCCATGCGTCCGACTTTCTGGGTCCAACTTGGCCCGATTGAGAGCCAGGCACGAGTCTAGGGGTTGATTCGGATTTTTTCTCTAGAAAGATTCGGATCGGGTTCAGAATGGACATGGAAGGTGCCCCTAGAACAAGGCTTTCCCCTTCTGTCTCGCTTGCTGAGTGGATGGCCCAAAAAAAGTCCAAACTTTATATTTACCACTAAAATGGTCTTCCCAAAAAGTTTAAAGTTCATGAACTGAGGAAGTGAGCTGTTGTGGCCAGGCAATGGCCATGCACAAGGCGGTAGCTCAGTGGCCTCCAGAACTCCAACCAATAGCTCTTGAGGCATCGGCAGCAATCCCGCAAGCTGGGCTCGTTGTAGGCTAGGTTGGGAGCAACCCGATTTTGTCTCAAAAATGGTTGGGCTCCAAATGGTTGGCTTCCCTTTTCTCAGATTCCCTTCTAACCGCCCTAAAAAGACAACACTAACCACCTCAAGCTGCGGTTTCCCTTTAAACCAACTCCAAAAGTCAGCGTCCCACGAATTTCGTTGGTGGTTTGGCGCCCGGTGGTTTCGATTCGCTGGTTTCCCCTTCGCCCTCTAAAGTCGGCTCAGATCCCAATCCAAACCAGCCACGAAGGGCAGGGCAACCTGACAAAAACTCGGTTGCGAAATCTGCTCCCCCTGCTAACAGTTAAACTTATAGTGGTTTAATACGGAAAATCTGTTAGTTGGCAAAAGTTAAAGTCCTAACATCCTTTGGCAAAATGCACCACAGAAATCCAATAAGCAAACGAAAACTCCCGTCCTGACCGCGTCGCCAATGGCAAAATGCAACCAACAAAAAGGCTAGCCTCTACTCCGACGCCTCCGACCCCTCCGAGGCGCGGATTGGTTCACGTAGACCGTGGGGCCTTTGTGCCAGACGTCTTCCAGCAAAGCCACCGAGTCCACCTGAGTCTCCTGGCGCTGGCCTTTTTCGTGGCTTTTTTTGGCGGGCGTTGCTCCAAATAGGACTTGGTTGACGTTGGAAGGGAACAACAAATTGAATTGTAGCAGTTAAGTGGGGGTTTCCCACTAAACCACAAGAAGCAAACATGTGAAATGTTTCCCAACAACAACCATGAGGAGGCCACCTAAAAAACAAAGGTGTCCAGCACTCCACGCCCCCCAACAACTGCTTTTTGGTTACCATATACTCTTTGGTTTTAAACAAATGGACGAGAGATTGCAGTTGTTGGGGGGGGGGGGCGGGAAGGTGCTGGTTCCTTCTCGTTCCAAAATGGATCCACCAGGAAAGGGGGGGTGGGTGGATTGTATGACTCTCCCAGTGGGATTTGTTTAAGGAAATGTTCACCGTGGGGAATGCCCCCAACATGGCCCGATTTAGCAGCGTCTTTTCTGAAAACAGCCCCTGACTCTTTTTCCGGTACAAAACAAACATTTGTAATTAACATCCGTCTGGAAATGTTATTTGCATTTTCTGGCGTTTGCCGCCTAAAAAAGCAAGATTACACATGTAAGACTACATCTTGGACGCCGGTGGGCCCATCAACAAGATACCTCACACAAAACCAGCTTATATTTTCATGAAATGTAGTATTACGTTCTTCAGGTGCTTGAGTAGCACTTCGAGAGATTGGATGAGGTTGGACATGGTGCGAAGCCAGTCAGAGCTCAAACTGCTCAACAAGGCATGTGCGGCAATCATTCGCAACCCACTAACTTCAAAAAAGTGGAGGGGGTCGGTAAATGTAAGCTACATTTGCCCCCCCCCCCCCCCCCCCGCATTACAACGCCTCCGCTGCGCTGACCCACCCTGTCGAGCTTCCCAGGGAATTCATGGGAAACGCATGGAAATCCTTGATTCTCGGTGTCCAGCTACATTTCCCCCTCCCCTTTTTCGGATCCTATATAAAGGGGTGGGAATTAAACAACCGCCTATGACTGATTTCTTCCGCCTCGCTTGGGGCTGGCGGCAGAGACCCAAAGACCTTCCATGCCCCCCGCCTCCAGATAGTTGGCGAAGGTCAAGTTGGGATATGAGGGAAGAAGGCCCTTGCAGAACTCCTCGGAGATGTGAACCTGAAACAGGGATCCTTACATTATACACCTGAACCTTGCCTTGTAAATGGTGGTGCCCCTTTATTTGGGTGAAAAGCCATGTTTCAAATGGGCAAAATGTCTATTTTAAGGAGCCCTGTGAAAGACTGCGCGGCCTAGGTGTCCGTTTAGGGGAAATAGATGGCCCTGGTGGATTATTGAACCACCAGGTAAACCAGGGCCCGCTACTTTTCAGCCAAACCAAACAAAAAGGACACCTATGCTGCGCGGGTTTTGCGAATCTGAAATGAGGGCTCCGGTAAAGGCAATGTTAACACTACGTGAACGTTGGCTAGGCAACTGTGAACCTCCAACAAGCAGCATGCCTTCGTGTGTAAGGCACTCGCAACAAGCGGCATTTCCTGAAAAGGCCAAGCGAAGCAGGCCGACAGGTCCTTTTTACCTTCTTAGATGCCCTTCGCAGCATTTTGGTCTAGAGAATCATTGGGGGCTCTTGGTCTCTGCCAGCTTGGTCTCATGAGGAGCAGCTGCTTGCAACCTAAGCTGCAACGTAGTCGAAGTCGCTAATCAACTTCTGGCGGGGTAGGTCGTACCAGCCATTCACGTAGCAGTAGACATCATCTAAGGGGTAAGCGTGGTCACGGATAGTAACCTCAGTGCACGGATCCGAGGAAGCGTTGCCTCCCAACAAGTTCCGCTCGACATACGTGAAGTCCTCGCGTTGGGGCCACCAAGGTGACGAAAATAGAGCCGCATGCAAAGGGGCCCACAGGCTCGAAAAGCATGTGCAAAAGAGGCCCGAGTCCCTTGTGTGCGAGATTTGGCGACATGCACGGGCATGAAGAAGAAAAAAAAACGAAACGACGAGGAAGTTGATAAGAAGGGGTGAGCCTTTGGCCCAAGTTTCCATGGAGCATGAAGCAGAGCAATTATCGAGGGAAACCAAAGATCACAAGGTCAAAGGTCTTGAACAGCGAGCCTCAGGCAAGCAATGATTTGGAGCCAAGAGGCACGTGACCCATCCGCAAATAGCAACGTCTTGGGAACGTCGATCGGCAGATTCAGCGTTTGATTGTAGACCTCCAGGAAAGCAATATTTGATCCAAACACCATCGGCTACGGACTCTGTTCAAGCATGTCAAGGCAATGCAGGCAAGGATACTCACACAGCAGTGCTTCACAACAAAATATTGAGGTTTGTTCAAGGTGGCGGCAACAAAAAACACATATTGTTTCTACCAGTCAGGGCCGCGTGCCTTCGAAACGGCTAGGAGTTGCTAATTGCGCACAAATATGCAAGCATGTGTTCATGTTTGGAAAGGAAATGAGTCATGAAGTGCAGCGTTGTTGGGCGACAAGCAAGCATCAACCAAACATATGATATATGCCTGCCGAAAAGCATGGAATTTGCTTAAGGTTCATTGGCTAGTTCCTTGCTGATTTGCCGTGGGTTTGGGGTTGGCTTTGTTTAAGGGAAAACGGTGTTTGGATGGTGGGTTTAGGGTTGAGCAAGGGAAAATTTAGTTTGAGTGTCTGGTCGGTCCGGGTGACTTGTGATGCCGCAAATTCGGCTTTCTTGTACATGGACCTGTCCAAACTCCTTGCCTCCGTCCTCGTTTCCTGAGTCCAACTCCAGTTCTCCGGCGCTCTCCACAAGATATGATTTGCAGCACTTAGCTACTGTTTATATGATTGTCTCTACCCCCCCCCCAAAAAAAAAAAGAAGAAGAAACAAAAAAAAGCTCCTATAGGTGCTGCATAGGGCGTCTGGAAAAATGACACAACTGCCCATCCCTTGCTGGGTTGCTGCAACGACCCCCCTGCAAACAAAAACCTAACTTTTTGCTGGTTTAGTGGGAAACGCAACTTGATTTCAACCACAAAAAGTTGCAGTCTAAAGATCCGTCACCCAATAATGTTGACCCAGGATTAATAAACCCATCCCATTATCAGGGGGTGTGTTCCCTCCAAAAGTGGTCTGAATCCCCACTAAATGGGAACACCCCCCGATCAAAATCCACCAGGGGTTTATTACTCCGGGGTTAACATTAGCCGTCAAGCTGGGGGAATCGGAAGACGGCCTCCTTCGTAAGCTCCAGAAAGCGGCGGCAAGTGCCCTGGCAAGCGGCAGGGGTGACGTGACTCCTTCCATTTCCAGTCTGAACCCAGGGATCCTTCTTCTTTTTAGCAAACCCGAAGAAAACCACCAAAAACCACCAAAAACCACAAAAAAAAACCAAGGGCGAAACGGATCCGGTTAGGAAAAAGAACGATGGTTGCAAAGACTGGAAAAGGAATATCAACTCCTAGAGTGCCATCCAGTTCTTTGATCCTATGCGTAGAGAGAACTCCAAGATCTCGAAGCATCTAGTCTATTCAAGTATGGTAATCTCGCCATGTGAATGTTCCACCTACTTCGGCCAGGGTTCCACTTTTGGATTACGTCAAGGCAGACTTAAACCCAGGTGGGGTGAATGAACCACCCCTGAGTTTCAGTCCAATCTGGGGTAATCGAAAAGTGGAACCGTAACTTAGGCTATAACCAGGGTTGATTGCAACATATCTGCAAATTTTACCATAGCTCCAAAACCTGAATTTAAAAATTGGATCCCCTAGCAAAGGACCTTTATCCTGGCTTGAGCTCATGATACCCACAAATCAGTGAGCTCGCTTCATGAAATAGGCAAAGAATTGGAGCATGAAATGTTGGCTGCATTCTGCGATCAGGATCGAATGCTAAATCAACTGCTGGAGAATGGCCAGCGGTGGAATGTGCGCATTGCATCTTGGCCAGGCTTTCTCTTGTCCACACTACGCCTTGCCTCTGCAGATCTAGGCCAGAGGCCCGCGGCGCTACAATGTTTACAAATGCGTGCGGCAAAGCTTAAGGAAACCGGCACCTTTCGACATGTCGAGGCGAGCATTCCAAAATCGAGCCGGGTTCCTGAAGAAAAGCACGCATCCGCAAAACCTGCGCTTTCGGGCGAGAGGGATCCTGAAAATCGTGAGCTTCGAAATGATCACGTGTTCCTTTCTCCAGCTTGCTGGTGCTTGGGGGGGGGGGGGGGTGAGAAATGAAATGACCCCAATTGTTTTCTTTATGCTTATTGTAACTTATAGAAAACAACAAGAAAACAACTACATATATATATATATGTATATACATATATGTTGTTATTGTTATTATCATTATTATAAGGAAAAAAACACTTCAATTCACCCACCCCCCCGGACTCCTTCTCTCTCATTCACCCGCCTTTTGCCGTGCAGCGGCTCCCTCCTGGAGGAAAGCTCCTCCAGAGCCGAAGTAGCACCAGCCGTCCTAACTCGAAGCGTGGCTTGCTCTGGTTATAGTATATATATATGGGTGTGGCTCAAAATTAAACACGGGGGTTACGCGGGTTTTAGTCTTTGGTTCCATTTACAAGGGTTCCATTTTGGTGCCGGATTTTTGAGCCACAGCCATATATATATATATACATATGTGTATACAAAAGCGTGTGCACATGTTTTTTTAGCACATTTAGAGGTGCATGTATATTTACATATAAATATAATATACTCTGCGACTACCTGAATATTTACATATGTATAGGTTAATAAGCGGCTAATATATGTATGTATATATATATATCATATATCATGTCTACGTACTAGGGTGCAGGGTTTTGGGACTTAGGGTTGAGGGCTTGTAAGGTTTAGGGTCGCATGTAAAAATACAGACACGAACACTAGAACACTAGACAGTAGCCATGGCCCACACAATGCAAAGGGCGCAGCGAATCTTGACGTTGGTTTCTGCACGAAAGCACTCGACATCGGCCATGGAGGGCGTCCGTGGAAATTGGCACCTGGGCTTTTAGCCCTTTAGCCATACCTTGATGGGTAGCACCTGCCAAAACAAAACTTTTCAGGGTGAGACAAGAATCTGTTTGTCCAACAAGTTTAGAGGTCAACGATCCACGGCAATAATGTGGATGGACAAAATCCTGCACCACCCAAGAAGCAATGGAATGATGATTCCCCCGTAAATACCCACAAACTGTGGTTTGAACTGAATCATGGATCCATTTCCTGGTGCGAAATGGATTTCCTCCATCCACAGTAGCATTCAACACCGCATTCCATGCTTTTGACAGGGTGCGATCCTCTTCCATTTGCCTCAACCCCCCCAAAAAGAAGTAACACCATAGTTCCAGTGGTGAAATCGATTCCCTTAATAAAAGGACACTTTCTAAAAAATAATAATAATAATAATAATATATATATATAATAACCGTGTTCCAAAAAAGAAAGAGGAAGTTCTCGTGGCTTCGGCAAAAAGAAGTTTTCGTGTGTTGGTGTCCTCCTCCGGGTGCTCTTGCAGAACTTGCTGGATCGGCCGCACCAGATCCTCAGCATCGCTTTTGGGATGCGCAGACCGACTCGCCTCCCAAAAGCCAGAAAAGTCGTAAAACTTCCTGGAGATTTGAAGGCGGAAATCCGAAAAGCGGAATTGTTCTGGAGAAAAGGATCTCATTTTGGAGCTCTCAAATGACAAAGGAGACAGCAACTCACAAGGAGGTAATGGGTAAGCCAAGTCATCCCCAGCACCCGGCAGAACCCTTCGGGACCCTTTAGCCAGCAGCAGCTCCGAACCACTTTGAACCCAATCCAACAACCAATCCTCACCTCCGAAACCCTTTCTTTGAAGCCCCAGACGAAACGAATTAGGGGTGCATTCTAATCCAAGGGGGCACTCTGGCGATGCTGATCCTCCGGAACCCTTCGCAACCCAACCGCTCCGAAGCAACGCCTCTGGATAGCTCTCAGCTGGGGAACATGGCCAAGCTTTGAAGAATCAATCATTTGCCGACCCCATAGCCCGATAGGTAGGGAATGAGTTGGAATGAACCTGGGGGTCCCACAAGAACACCAGTTGGATGGTTCATAAGGCTCATTCCCTCATTCCCTGCCTATCGCACAAAGATTAAGATTAATGTGCAACTGACACCTCGGGCCGCTAATTTTCTGCACGTGAGCTCATGGCCTTGCGACCTTTCGCCAAGGCACTTCCAGAGGCAGGGTCTTGTCGCATCCCTTGGCGTCCTTGTGGATCTTCATGACAGCATCCTGGAGTTTGGTCGCTCTCGGCTTTGTCCTGCCCTTAAAGAACCCCAAGCGGGTACGAACCTCCAGTCCCTCACCAAGCCCAAAACGGGAGAGAGGAAAACTGGCTCAGAGAGCCAGCCCAAATCCTAATAACCATGAAAACAATGGGGGTTCATATCATCACCATTGTTTACCTAAAGATTGTCATCCTCCAAATTGGGTCCTTGCCATTCTTTTAATGGGGGGACATAATTTTAGGAATTTTAGGAATTAAGCCTCCTTAAAACTTCATTCACATTGGACACCCAATGCGGATAGTGCAAGTTCGCCCGTCTAAAACGACCTGGCGACTAGCTCTCAAAATGACAAGCTGTGACTTCTTGAGTCCACATGAAGGCACCGCTCAGCTGCATCTGTTTGACGGTACCTTACCCTTTTTCTGTAGAATGATCATAGTCGCTCATTGATCCTATGCGTCCAAAACACTCTAAACTCGAAGCATCTAGTCTATTCAAAAATTGTAATTTCACAACGTGGATGTGCCACTTACTTCGGCTAGGGCTCCGCTTTTGAATTACGTCGCCCATGGTAAATGAACCACCTGGGTTTCAGTCTACCCGGGGGTAATCCAAAAAGTGGAACCCTGACTTTGGCCATACCCAGGTTTGATTGCAACATATCTGCACATTTTACTATAAACAATGCAAAAGCTTAATCGAGAACTGAATCCCCAAGTAAATGACCTTTATCATGGGTTTTTTGCTCAGTGTATCCCCGGATCGGTGAGCTCTCGTCATAAGAAAGGTATTCCATACATAGTATGGACCCCGCTCCCGCTTGCCTTGTAGGCCCCAAAGACCTTGGCCAACTGGGCAACCACCTGAGCGAATCAGGTACCAATGGGTCGGGATGACCCACGAGGGGGGGAATTATTTTCCTTTTCACGTTGGGAAACCGCCATTGATTGAACAAAAAGGGCTTGAGTATGAACTGGTGTCCCCCCCAAAGTCCAAAGCCGCGAAAGCTGATGGAGCACCTTGTGAGGTTCTTTGAAGCAAAGGGGTTCCTCCCCTGCTACCTTGGGGATCATAGAAAGTGGGAGGTGTTGCATTGGTTGAGGGGGCCCAAAACCCAAGCTCAAACCCGTGCAGCCCCATAGAACCTAGGCTGGAATCAGGACCCCAGCAAAAATACATGTTATTTTTGCCAGGTTAGTGGAAAACAAAGGGACCCCCAAAAAAGCAAAAGAACAAAAAGGGGAGCTAATTCTGGGGAAGGAAAGTGGGCCCAGGTGTTGGATTGGTTGAGGGGGCCCAAAACCCAAGCTCAAACCCATGCAGCCCCTTGCACAAAGCCTTCCTCAGGTCATGGGACACATGCGCTCAAAAAAATGAGACGCAACATGTCCGGGGGAAAACACACAGGGTTGCTCACAAAACAAGCATACCAAAACGAAGCAGCGAGAAATTATCCTAACAAGTTCCGTGGCTTTCCGAAGTAGCAGCCACGCAAACGGGCCGGGTCCCGTGAAGGTGCTGTTCCGAGCTCTGCCGCTTCTGCTGCTTCCTTGAACAAGTCCAAGGGATTCCTCATGCATATTGATATGGCATATTTATGTCGTCCAAGATGGCCAAGGAGAGGCACCATTGGCCACAAAAACGGAACAACTCAAAATCCCTACTCTGGATGCACAACGTCCGCTTCGCGCCACTCGGGATGGATAAAACCCTGTACATGCTGGGGGAAAACCACAACTGTTGCGAAATGAAGTCTCCCCATCCAGTCTGGAAACTGCTGGCAAGCTGCACACAACCGCAGGCTCTACAGGTACTGGGGGACGTGGAAGCTGCGCATCTTAAAACCTCTAAGTAAGGTGGCTATGTCAGTAAAAACCAAAGCCCTACAAAAGGTCTTCCCTTTGCATCACTTCCTATCATCACTTTTCTGGGGGACAAGAGGTAAACTGTCCAGGTGATTCCATGTCTCTGCATAGTAGGTAACCAAAGAAAACCTTAAAAAAAAAGGAAAACTGCTGGTTATCTACTATAGTGGTATTCGGCGGCAACTGGGATCCACTGGGTCAAGCAAAGGTTTCCGCTCATGCCGAATCGGTGGGCAGGAGTAAATCAACCGGAAGAGGGAGGCGAATGCCTCCCGCGGCTTACGCGCCGGCCTGCGCCTTCTTCTCCATTTCCTCGGCGGCCTTTACGATGTCCTGACCAGAAAAGCTGTGCGAAAGATGGTGGCCAAATGGGAAAGTGAGGCGATGCATGTGCTCTGCCCTTGTGATCGGCCGTAATTTCCATAAATGCCCAGGTCGGGGGTTCCAGTTGGCCTCTGGTTTTAGCTTGGCGCTTGGACATCCCTTGCACAGACACCTCACCGAAATGCCGGTTTCTTTCACACATGTCGTGGCGGCCCTGCGAACTGTTGGCGTACTTGTCCTTGCACGAGTGAATTCCAAAGCCCTATATATACTGCCAAAAGGAATCTCGGTTTGGGTAAAGGACGTCCGGTTTTTTTGTTCCATGCTTGGTTGCAGGGAAGGATTTCGCTGAGCATTTGGCAACACCAAACTGTGGGAGACTTGCCTGGATCTGAAAGGGACAACTTGCCGACACCATACCTCAATGCAGAATTACCCTACAACCTACAAAAATGCCCCCCCCCCCCTCCAGGGGGCGGGATAAGAGAATTGGGATGTGCTTATTCCATCGAGGCTGAACACATAATGATTGAACCAAGTCAACCAGTCTGGACAAGAGATTTCAAACTGGATTTACGTCCACCAACCGTGATTGAACGTGATCAGCATACCCGGAAAGCCAATATTCGGATGCTATATCATTTTGCAACGGCCCTGAATCTGTGTGTGGGTGGGTGGTAGGGAGTGTGGACGTGGACGTGGACATGGACGTGAATGTGGATGTGGGTGTGGGTGTGTGTTGTGTGTTGTGTGTGCGTGTGTGTGCGCGTGTGTGTGTGTTGTGCGGGTGTGTTGTGTTGTGTGTGTGTGTGTTGCGTTTGTGTTGTGCGTGTGTTGTGTGTGTGTGTTGTGTGTGTGTTGTGTGTGTGTGTGTTGTGTGTGTGTGTTGTGTGTGTTGTGTGTTGTTGTGTTGTGTTGTGTTGTGTTGTGTTGTGTTGTGTGTTGTGTGTGTTGTGTGTTGTGTGTTGTGTGATGTGTGTTGTGTGTTGTGTGTTGTGTGTTGTGTGTGTGTGTGTGTGTTTGTGTGTTGTCTGTTGTGTGCGTGCTGCGTGTTGCGTGTTGCGTGTTGCGTGTTGTGTGTTGTGTGTTGTGTGTTGTGTGTTGTGTGTTGCGTGTTGTGTTGTGTTGTGTTGTGGTGTTGTGTTGTGTTGTGCTGTGTGTTGTGTGCTGTGTGCTGTGTTGTGTGTTGTGTGTTCTGTGTTGTGTGTGTTGTGTGTTGTGTGTTGTGTGTTGCGTGTTGTGTTGTGTTGTGTTGTGTTGTGGTGTTGTGTTGTGTTGTGCTGTGTGTTGTGTGCTGTGTGCTGTGTTGTGTGTTGTGTGTTCTGTGTTGTGTGTGTTGTGTGTTGTGTGTTGTGTGTTGTGTGTTGTGTTATGTTGTGTTGTGTCAGGCTGGGGGGGGCCGAAGGAAATTCAAAAGAACACTATCCCGCTATTCATGTCATGGTCATGCCTCCTTTGAGAGGGTCCCCTTACAATGGTCGAAATTTCCCTATTGAGGGGGGTTCATGCGTTGACCATGGCACATGTGGGTTTTCTCAAACTAGAGATCCCCATTTTTTCGGGGATTTTGAGAAACATGGGCCATGTGAAACAGAAAAACCCTCAAATTCCTTGGTTTTTTTCACCAGACGTTCCCCCCCCACCCCAAGATTTGCGGACCCTTTACATCGCTCTTCTGTTCTAGGTTCTCCAGTAGAGAGGTTAGAATAAGGGTGCCAACTTTTTGTCTGCAGTCTATTTTAGTAGGGGAACCCTTTTAACCAAAAATGGGTAAAAGAGAGGGCACCTAGCTGGGGGACCTAGTGTTGGTTTCCCCTTGATCCTCCCCTTCCATTTGCTTAAGCCCCCTGGAAAAAATATATTTCCAGTAGTGCTAGATTCCTTTTAAAACCGACAGGGCCAACAGGGGACAATACAAAATATTCTCAACCAACTGGAAGTCCCCCAAAGCCCCCCAAAGCCCAAGGAAGTCCTGCTGCAGGCCATGAGGCATCGCCGGCTGCGCCGCGCCCGGAGAATTCCACAGCGCCGCGAGCATCGCCAGGCGACGCGCGAGGCTCGCCATGGTGTTTTTTCCGCGGAGCCGCGGAGTTCGGCGAGGCGAACAATGCAAAGAGCACGGGGCTTCCTCCATGCGCGTGTTTGTCGTCTGGGGAAAAATGAAAAATAGTGTGCAGTAGTGAAATTGATTCCCTTTGGGCCAACGGGGGGAAAAAAAGAACATATTCTTATAAGCCAATGGAAGGCTGGTTGTATGAAGGCGACTTGCGTTCGAGTCAGCGCTTCTTCCAAAACACGCATTCGACGCTTGGAAGAGTTGTATCGTTCATGGTCAATATTTTTGTGAGGACCTGAAAAAACATCAAGCGCGATTCCAAACGGCTCAATGCATCCCTTGCTCCAACGGGAGATTCAAGTTTCCTCTACTAAGGCTCAGCCAGAAGCTGCAGTCAGGGATTGAGCCGAAAACCACGGTGCCGGTTTCGAGTCGGGCACGCACAGGTTGCATTGCATGACATTGAGACCCAAAGTGGGCAGGCTTAGTTGCTGCAACTGCCCCTCTACAAACGTTTCTCACTTGTTGTGGGTCCAATACGGAAAATGGGAACGGTTACAGTTCCAAGATCCGTTGCTGCACAGCACAAGGAGGTTCCCCGCCCGTCGAAGGGTTCCTCTTGTTGCTTGCTTGCTTCGCAAAAGCGAAAGCCTAGGTTTCAATGGCCAGTGGGCCGAACAAACCTGTGAGCAAAGCATCCGTTGCAGAAGTCTTTAGCACTTTGCTGCAATGCATGCACTGACATGCACCCACATGCGCAAGAAACTCTACGTGAACCCTTTGACCCGAACTGGCAATACCACTTTGCCTTCGTTGGGGCTCCCTTATCACAAAAGGTGGCAAACCTAAGCTCCAAACATTTCTGCGACTTGGATCAGGGAATCTGAGTAATCAGGGGGTGTCTTTCGAAGGCTCCTAAAAACGCGGATGTTGAAGGAAGCTGTTGAAGCCCCCTAACTGGGGCACTAGCATGTCTGGCACAGGTCATGGGTCGTTTTAGGTTTTAGGCTAGTGGTTGAACAAAAAATGATGGGTCCCGAAAGAAATCAGCTTAGCTCTCGCTCTGTGTTCCCGTGAAGGTCGCGTAGGTGGCTTGGCGGGGGGCTCTGAATTTGGATGTAACACCCTTCTTCTGAACAAACTAAACAAGCAATACCCGCAGGGTTCAACTGCCAGCCCCGTCAATGACAGGAAACCCTACTTTTAAACATTGCCACCACTAAGAGGCAGCTTGCTTTGAATTGGCCTTTCCATGATGTTGACTCTGTTTGACAAGCTCCCTTCTTTAGTGGACTGATCTGAACTTTGTGTTTGCCGCAACAACTTGTCTTCCCAAGAGGTATACAGTCCAAAGAACTCAGGGAGTGAGATGAAGAGGGGGTGTCTTCAAGACGTCTTCAAGTCAGCCCACTCCTCAAATGGTTGGACACCTAAACCGGAGGTTCCCACAGAGGCGCATGCGTCGTGCTGGGTCCTCAAATGGTTTGGAAGGAACGCCAGCCCCGAAAGTAACTTTGAGAACCCTTCAAGATGTTGACTTTAGCTGACTCAGGATTAATAAACTGATAAACCCCTGCTTAGTTTTCATAGGGGGTGCAACTCTTGAAAGAGACTCCTTGAATTGACGACTGGTGACGAGGATACTTCTCCAATGTCGACATTAGGGATCCCGGAAGCACCGACCCCAAGCACCCAAACCATGATTTGGGAATCCACATGACTCTGCACATTTTACCCCTGAAGAAACTTGCTGGTGCTCAGAAGGGAATGCGGGAATGACCCTTATAAACCATCCCTTGTGGTTTCCTTTAAGGGGACCCTGGGTTCACATTGCGTACTGAGCACCAGCAAGAAAAGACTTGGATTCCCAAGGCAGGCACCTCACCCGGCCTGAATGGAAACCCGACCACTAAACCAACTACAAAGCAAAGGAACCGGATGGCTAGTTGAACCACCACGGTTTCGCTGGAAATTCCGAGTCCCGGCGGATCCGTGGACGGCAGATCCGTTGAAGCGGCCCCACCTCCGTAGCCTTCAAACTGGGCAGCGAGGAGTCCTCAGGCGCTCCCAACCACTGGGGTCCATACCACTGCGTGCCGGTTGCAGTGACAGGGCTCCCTATGTTTCCTCTTGCAACATCACCCCCACCAAGCAACTCACCTTCTATGGGCCAAAAAGGCGACGTTTAAAACCACCAAAAAAGGAAATATAGGGACGCCGGAGTGAGGTTGGAGTTATGCTTGCAGCTGGGGGGGGGCTGAAAAATAGCCAACCTGTTTAGTTTGTTTTTCATTCTCCTGGGCTCCCTTCTTGGCCGATCCGGGCAAGCTAGGTTGGCACTCGTGCTGAAAGGGACTAGGAAGCAATGCAAACGGGGGGGCCCAATCGGGGAACATATGCTTCAACCAGACCCACCTTCAGATGGGAACCGAGCATTGATATGCTGCAACTCGGGGTTGGCTTAGCCCTGGTTCCGCGGAAGGCTTTAAGCAGGAGGTTCGGATCAAATGTGCGCAAAGACCGAAGAGTCAAAGGGCGGCCTTAAAAGGGGTTTGATGACCTTTGGTTGATTAGAACCTCCATTTTGGGCAGCAAAGCCCAACCCGGCTCGGTTTATGCTGGCTTTCTTTTTAGGAGCACGTTGCTTTTCTTCATAAAAAGCGCTTGCTTTAGAGTTGGTACCTTTTCTGATTCTCTTGCAACAGAAAACCAAGTCGAAATCATCCATTTAGGGCTTCGATACCATATTTTGAGACAAACCCTGATAGGAGAGAATGAAACTGAATTGGTTGGGCTTTTTGGTGGGCATGGCTAACGCGGGCAAGGACCAGTGTCAAAGAAATGTCAAGTTCGCCCCGGTGGGCAACCCCTACTTGCAAGCATCTTGTACTTGAACGGAGATTTTGGAAGTGCAACGGTCCCGGTACGTCCATGATGGACATATCCCCGAACACCCCTCATGCAATTCGGCCATGCATTTCAACAGGGAACCACTTGGTGGCATTGAATTCTCATGATGTCCAAGCGTCCCAATTGAAATTCACACCCATATTGGGTATGGCTCAAAATGAAACTGGGAGAGGTTTTAGTCTTGTTCATATACCAAGCTGCCATTTGGGTACCATTGTCCAGCCGCAGCAACATTGCTAGACTCTTCACCAGGAGAAGCTCAGAAGAAACATTGTCGAAGCTCCGATTGATTTCGGGAACCCCGAAGATGTTCCAACTAAAACCGATGTGAATCAACCTGGCGGATCCTCCGGCAAAGGCAAAGGAACCCTTTCTCGAACGGACACCAATTCAGCAATCCTGGGTCCCCAAACGGGCGTGCGTTGTGGGAACCTCACTTTTCGGCTGGAAAGGGACATCGAGAAGGGTCTGTTCACAAACCAGCTTCCTAACTTGACCAAACTTAGGGTTCCTACAAAACTGAGCGCCTTTGCGGCAAGGCGACAAGTCTTGAAGGTGAGTACACTCTTGCCCACATTGCCGAGCCTGACGTTGCAGGATCCTGGTTTGGCCCACCTTTCTTCAAAATTCACCCTCTGATGGGTTCTAGGGCAATGTGGACAGGGTATCTTGGAAGGAGAGGGTACCCTCCCACCTTTTTCACCTGGAACCTGAGGCTCGGGACCCGCTCCCTTGAGGAACATGATCCAAGCCAGGACGATCGATCCAAACCAGGACTTCGAAGGTCAAGTTCCGCGTTTATTGGGAGGGCAAGGTGTTTTTCCCCCGGAAAAGCGGCGGACGGTTCCAACTTGGAGCACTCAAAAGCGCTTTGGACACTCCGGTTTCAGGTCACGGGGCCGGCGGGACCAGTTGCACGCCAGTGCCCACCAGAAGCACCTGCGATCCGAGCAGAAACCAAACCAGATCCGGGGGCCCGTTGAATACGTACCCGTCCCAAGTGACAAAAGGAATGCCCTAAGCAAGGTTAGTAGGTGATGCAGTGTGCGCTTTGTGAAACAGTGAAGTTTGGCAGAGGCAAGGTCAGCCAGAAACTGGCAAGGCCATGCAAGCCAACGAGGGTATAGGGAACTATGCCATGCCTTGTGTGTCAAACATGGTAACCCCTGGTCCCAATTGACAGAAGGCACCTCGGAGAATTGGTCCTGGTTCGGACCATTCTCCTTTGGGACCGTGTCCCGAACGTCAGGTTCCATGTGAAAAAGGTGGGAGGGTAGCCAAAATACAATCCAGGGGGACATGGATAGTCTGCTTGGTTTGACCTGAGTCGTGCCAGGTCGCTGACTCAACCGAGTTCCGGACCTTTGAAATTGCTAAGGGGCACCCTGGCCCACACACACACACACACACACACACACACTGAGACTCCGTTTCATCTAGCCTACCCCAAAAAAATGTCCTAAGATCCTTCTTTTGCGAGGAGTTTCAACTCTCCCCTTCGGCATGGCCTGCCGAACCTGCATTTTGAATAAATCTCAGCTGCTTCATGATGTTTGTTCCCTTGTTGGAAAAAAGGGATTCGATCACTGCACATATCTGTTACTTTTTGCGTCTTAAGCAATTGGAAGTAGGAGTTTTCCCGTTTCCCTATCAAGGCATCGTTGCTTTCGACACCACAGAAACAGACGAAACTCGCTCGCGCACCAGCCACCGCCTGGCCGAGGGTGAGGTCCACCAACATGAAGTTGGCCTTCTGGGCCCAGTCCTGGCGTTTTTTGCTTTTTTCCCCGTGAAGGAAGGCCCAAAAAGTTTCTTTGGGGACCAAAGACCCCGTTGGTCTCTCTCTCTCTCTCTCTCTCTCTCTCTCTCTTTCTCTCTGTTTTTTGTTTATTTATGCTTTGTGTCTTCCATCTCTCTTTTTTTGGGGGGGAGGGTTTAGGGTTGGAGATTGACCCCTTGTTTTCCGAGATGGTACCCTAAATCCTGCAGACATCTGGATTAACCGAAGTGCTGATTTACACCTCCGAGAGCTTGTTGCCTGGGAAGCTGCAGCTTTCTCGGTCAACCAACAA